TTATTAAACGAATTTGAATATTGTACTAGTTTAGATCACATATTATGTGTTAACAACAGCAAACACAACATAAAAAAAGACGTCTAACAAAACATAAAAATTTCGATTGTATCACATTGCAAGAGCTGCATAAAAATAACATATTCATACAAAAAACCCAATATAGTTAAGATAGACGCACCAACGTAATACTTAATAAATAATTTAATATTTGAACAATAACTTTGTAACTAATTAGTCGATAATATTCAAATTTGTTTAAAATATTACTACAGACCGGAGAATATTAAACTATTTTAAACAATATGAATGATGACAAAAATATGCGGTTATATTTTTAATATAGTTTTAAATCTATGAGTGATTTTCTTTAAAGAATAGTGAAAATTTATAAATATCCCTAAAATTATCCGATGGTCTTCACTACACAAGACATAAAGCCAGAAAAATATGTACAGCATATAATCAATTATAATAATAATTAATCTAGCCATAACAGAGATATCACGCTTCGATACTTTTTACCTAATTTTCTGAAAACTTCCGCTACGAAATGAAAAGGGGCGATCGATAGAGAATTAAAAATTACTCTTAATATTGTCAAAACCAGATTTGCGCCATTGACGCGGTTTCATAATAAGGCTTATCTGTATTATAATTTGAAGGTAACGGTTGTTTAGCGTTTTTATCAGATTTCTCAGCTAAACTGAGCTTTCATTTGTTTACTTAAGTTAAAAAATCACACCGGAACCAAAGTGCATGATATTATATGATTAATTCGGCTTCAGTGAAGCGCTTTTCGTCCAATTAAGAAGCTATTTTGCGACTCTTCGGAGAAACACCGCACAGAGGTGAAAACGGTATAGGAACTAGAGGAAGTATGTTGATATTAGAGATAATGTTCAAAATAAATATTCTTTGGTAACATAAATTGTCGTTTTCACAGTAATTTTAAGACCACTCACATAATAATACAGCTCAGATACTCTATTTCCATATCCGAAGAAAAACAATGGGAAAATTGTTTAAGTGTTGGAACGGCCCACGTAACATTAGAGAAATTTTTTTGTATACGAAGTAACAGTTCTGCATTAATTAAAATCAACTGAATAAACAAGAGTATTGTAAATGGATCAATAACTTCATGTAACAAAATGAAATCGACGTTACTAATGAACTATTATTAGCCATATAGATGGTTCTATTTATTAAGGTAAATGAAGTGGCAAAATGTGCCGTGTGTACTGTAACTCCTTTGTGTATTCATAAGGAACCTCATTGGGTTCCTCATTCTTTGAAAATTTAAGTATATTGCAATTTTTAGATGTTGCATTATGGTTGCTATATCCTTTAATGAAACAGACACAATAATATTGTACTGCAATACTGTAGCCATTTTAGATCAACTTGATCAAATAATAAACGGATATTTTTAATATATGGTGTAGCCTCGCATACAGCATGATTTTCGATAACACAGATTGCAGACGTTTATGGCGATCGCATAATTTCACATATTTTGGCCTCCACGATCACCTAACTTTTTTTCTGTTATCGGGTGCATCGAAAATGATAATGAGAAGAAATGTTACACTTTGAGTTTGGCAACATGATTAGAAGAAAGTGAATTATGGATTCAGCAACAGAATAAATTTTTAACTTAAAGTATTTCACTATGCTTCATTGTATATTTCACTGTCATAGTAGAGAATTTTTTATATGCTGTATAAAGATACAAACAAATTAATTTACACCTAATGTAAGTTTTGTTTAATTCCATAATTTAGTAGTACTAGTATATAAAGCACTAAATTATTTTGTATTTATGATCTTTTACATCCTCTTATAGTACCAAATGCTCTTCCAGTCATAGACCTGCAACTGGGTTATTTATTTATTAATATTGAGACGACAAATATACACTAGATAATTTCAGGAATATTTAAACTTCATATTTAGTTTGTTAATTGTAATATGTTAATTTTAAACAATAGTTTTTTGGAAGCTTTCAAAGAATTATAGGATTGAATAAAATCATATTACAGATAATGTAACGAATACTACAAAGTTATCCAACAGAAAGTTCCAAATTGTTTTTATAAAAAAAATGTAAGTTTCCAAAAAAAAGAAAGAAATTCATAATTATATCGACAGGAAATATTTCATACCAAGCAAACACCAAGTATAAAAATTGCTTATTGTAAAAACTTCTAGACCAAATCCCCTTTTAACATCTTAAGAAAATAACTGCTATCAGTCTTAGGAAGATAGTTGATGTATAACTTATGATTTGGAAATAGGAAGGATCATAACTTATCTGTAGAAAGAAAAGGAGGTGATTCGTAACTCAGCTTTGTTCTACAATGAGGCAGTTAGATAATTTAATTTAGAATTATAGATTCTAAAACTTCTGACTCACATAACTATTATAATATCTGACTGAAATGGTCCTTATTCGGTGACAGATCTATTCTCAAAAACGATTCTTATCTACTATGATTGCATTATCAATCATATTGTAAATATGCTGTTTATGTCTGTCAAAATCTAATTATATTTGGCGCTTGCTCACCTATTATATTTCACAATCTCATGACCTCTAGAAATATACACGCGTGAACACATAAGTAAGCATTAAAAACACTGACAGGCTACAGATTTCACGGTAACTTTTCCATCCCCTATGGCACCAGTGTCATGAGATAATGAAACATCTACAATCATTTACACAGTGAATTTCTTCTGACGATCAGAAAGGAAAACTACATAAACATTTATAATCATATCTAATTTGCCTATTGCGGTGAAAATATTTGCAAATATATAGCGACCCTAAGTATTTAGGAATAGCCCCACAAATTCTGGCATAAAGAGCTGTTGCGGGTACTGGCAGACTGCAAACTAATATTACACCTAAACGGGTTCTAAATAAAAATTACAAAAGGTCTTATAATGTACAGTTTACTTATGGATGCAGTCTTCTCTAGATCATATTCTAATACCTTAACTCTGTATCCTAATAATAAATTCATTGTATTTAATATTTGTCAATGGATTATCATTTTTTTTTGGTTTCTAAGCAGTGTTTAATTTGTTTTAAGTTTTAAATTTTTATCAAGCACAGCATAACTTGTTTTTGTTCACAATTTCAACATGTATAAATATTAGCTACTACTATTGGTGTATATTTTAACCAAATTTGACCTTTGTTTAGATTTTGTTGCAATTGTAGTGGAGTATTTTTTTTAAATTCCCTTTAATAATCGACGAAGCAGATTGCCATAGTAAATTGTAATCCTTCCAGTCTATGCTACTTCGAGTAAAACTATACTGTACAAATTTGGAGATTTCCTTTATTGCGAGACTATTTAGAAACTAAATATTTAGTTAAATTTTTTTTAAATATTATTGGTTACTGATTTATGTCCATGGTTATGACCTGTCGAAAATTAAAGTTAATGGTAAAAAAATTCACATTTAACAGTCTGCTTATACTACATACAAGGCAATATCCACAGATATAAACTGCTTTTGTTTAGAAAAGTTTTCTTATTTAAACCTTTTGCTCTAAACTGGAAACTATGCACCAAATCTTCGCAAACTATAGGGAAAATTGAGTATAATTCTTATTTTGGACTCCACTTAAGGAATTTCTAGGCAAGAATATTAAATAAATAAACCATTAAATATCATTACGCGATTTTTGTCTACAATTTAAAAATTTCTGCAAGAATCTTACCAGTAGGTATATCATATCCACAATAATATTGATCTATGAATTACTTCTATTTCTTTAAACAATATCTATCTATTATTGTATAAAAATGTTCTGTAATAATGCATCAACGTATTACACTAAAAGCTGTCAGTAAAAATTCCCACAAACTTTAAAATCTACGCCTTTAATATCGTTAGAGGTTCATTTCTTGATCAGGTAAACTTAGTTATCTACGAAACATTCGATAAAATAATACAAGTATAGTACAGGTTCAGATACGATGTTCGTAAGCTTATCAAGGGTGTTGCACGTGCAGATTGTGCATTATAATAAGAATAATGTGCGGCATTAATCGGCACGTGCTAGATCCATGACGTTTAGCATTAAAGTGGGTTTATAGTTGTAAAAAGATTTAAAAAGTAAAGACCATAAAACACCTATCTTGGCATGCACTATACTGCACCGACGCATGGTAAGCAGCATATCTCTCGCAATACTAGTAATATATTTCAAGGTGAGGTAATATACGAGCAATGTACTCGCTAATGCGTAACCCAAATATGAATCGCATATATATATATATATATAATATATATATATATATATATATATATATATATATATAATATATATATATATATATATATATATATATGTTCTATGGATGAGACGTTTGACACGTCGGGATTATTAATAAAATTAAAGTGCTGCCTGCACTATTATACAAAAACCAATTCAATTGGATATTTAAAGAATCTGTAAGACCTCAATAGTAACAGTTGCACGAACAAGACACAAGCGAAAAATATTTTACAGTAAATATATTCAATGAGATATTTTCGAGAAACAGTTAAAGTATGTTTACCAACTAATACTAACTAATTTGGGATAAGTTTATGATTCACAGAAGATATGCTAACAGATGTTGTTAAGCTAATAACACACTTGTTAATTATGTTAACCAATCCTATTCTACATTCATTTGTTACATTCCGAAGTGTTTCATTTTCTAACCGATTATGATGAATATTTTCTAAAGGAACTACACCTAAATTTGTTTAAATTGTACTATATAAATAATAAATGATACTTTTTATGATGAATTTTTACTAATGAAAATATTAGACCTGCTTATTCCTACCAGGTAAAAACTATATACTATATTAAAATATTCTTTGCAGAAATCAAATTTAGTTATTATCAAAAAGTTGTTTAATTCACATAAAAACATTTAAACTTGTATTATTATTCTTGCCTAGAATTGAGAAAAAAAATTGTTCTTACTTATATATGGCTTAATTTATATAATACATTACGTTATTCCAACTCCAATGCTACGAAACAAGAGTAGTTAGTTACTAGTTTTTTGTATATGACATGAATGAGAATGAATTAACCTTTGACTAAGCAGTGTCTATCAGAATTATTATTTAGGTACGGCACCAGGTATACGTTTTACACGTGCCTCTGTTAAGAATCCCTTGGAACCATCTGGTCCTTTCGGTTGACGAACCACAGTTAATTTAGGTCCAGTGTCATCTACTGATATGGTACGTAGTCTACTGATTAGTCTTTCTGGTCTAGCTTGGACATCGCTAAAAGAGAAATAAAACAATTGTTAAAATTATATTGTACAATATAAGGTAACCAACCAAACACCAAAATATAACAATGAAAATTCAAGTCAATTCGAGAACACACACACACACACACACACAACGATACTATACTTATAATAGAATTAACATTGTAATTCAAATCAACTAGAACCCTACATGGAGAATTATGGAATAAAAATATAAACAACAAATGCGTCGTGTATATTATAACGTTTTCAAGTGTCTCTTATTGTCTTTTTGTTTATTATTTACTTTTTACGTGGGAATTAAAACTTGTGATATATTAATTACTATTTAACTGGGAATAAGCCACAATTAAAGATAAAAATACGTTTATTGACGTTTCAATTTCCACTTCGGAAATCGTTCTCAAAATACAAACAGTAAATAAAACAAATTTTGTTTTTTGTTACATAGTGAACAATTCTTCTGATAATTTAATTTTATCTAACTCATTTATATTGACAATTCAGACATACATTATGCATTTTAAAGTAGACGACTTTAAAATGATATTGCCAATATTGTTGAGTTGCGCTCCTGGGACGACTTTACTTATAAGATTCATTCGATTACATGAAATCAACTTTAAATTGAGAATATCAGTCAGAAAAAAATCATATCATGTAATTCGTCTTTAAAAAGACAAACACATGACATGATGACAGTAAAATTCTCCTGTTAGTGATTCCATAGTAAAGTATGAGGGAAATAGCAGGAAAAAAAACCTCATAATACTATCCAGACATGGTAAGTATTTGTTCGTGCATTTAGTTTACCTTCAATAAACACCAAAATTCTGATTTTATATGTTTCGTTATTTAAAAAACATAAATGATGTATCCTCTATATGTTACTGACTTACTAATACTGGTATTTTCTTATTAATAACTTCCTCTTTCAATATTGGTAACCAGATTATACCACATTCTGCCGAGGAATTTGCGACACAATTGGCCTCATTTAGCATAATTAGAGCCGCTTCTTTGATATTTCTTTTTTTACCATCCGTTTCTTTTAGGACTACATTTGAATTATTCCATTGAATGAAATGAGGTTGAATGCTCGAATAAATGAACTTTGAAAATAAGGCTATTATCGAGCACAAGTTAATTAAATCTAGCCCAAGCACTTTCGCTTAAAATAGCATCTTCAGGGGCATTTCGTCAAAATAAGAACTATCCGGCAAGCGTAGATTGTGGAAATATTAAAAATAACATAAATTATACAAAACACTACACTAAAACGAGGACAAACAGTTTAAAATTACTTCTACGCTACATTCTCTGTCAGTCCAAATACTGACAGAGAATAGTGTTTTGTATAATTTATGTTATTTTTAATATTTCCACAATCTACGCTTGCCGGATAGTTCTTATTTTGACGAAATGCCCCTGAAGATGCTATTTTAAGCGAAAGTACTTGGGCTAGATTTAATTAACTTGTGCTCGATAATAGCCTTATTTTCAAAGTTTATTCCATTGAACCCTATGTTCATTATCCCATGCGTGTTTACATATTTGAGATCTATCAAATTCTCTATTTTTAATAAAATATTGATGTTCACTTTATTCTAACATTTAATGGCCTTGATGTTTCACCTAAATAAAACTGATCGCATTCACAAGGTATTTTATAAATGCAATTATTTGTCCTTTCTTGTTCATTAGGTTTGGTTTTGGACATAATAGATCTCAACGTGTTTGTTGTTTTGAATGTTGTTGAAATGTTGAATTTATTTCCTATCCTTTTAAGTTTTTCAGATAATCCTTTTATGTACGGTATTGTTATTTTCCTCGTATTATTCCTTGTATATGCTGTAGGATCTCGTTCGTAGGTTTTTTTCTCTCATAATTTACTATGGAATCACTAACAGGAGAATTTTACTGTCATCATGTCATGTGTTTGTCTTTTTAAAGACGAATTACATGCTATAATTTTTTTCTGACGGATATTCTCAAAATAAAGTTGATTTCATGTAATCGAATGAACTATCTTATAAGTAAAGTCGTCCCAGGAGCGCAACTCAACAATATTGGCAATATCATTTTAAAGTCGTCTACTTTAAAATGCATAATGTATGTCTGAATTGTCAATATAAATGAGTCAGATAAAATTAAATTATTAGAAGAATTTTTCACTATGTAACAAAAAACAAAATTTGTTTTATTTACTGTTTGTATTTTGAGAACGATTTCCGAAGTGGAAATTGAAACGTCAATAAACGTATTTTTATCTTTAATTGTGGCTTATTCCCAGTTAAATAGTAATTAATTTAAAATGCCACAAGAAAATAGCTTCAGAACAATATTGTGATATATGTTTCAGAGCTATTCAAAATCCTCTCATTTTCCCTTTGGTGTAAGTATTTTGTAACATATTGCATTCATACTATCCCTACCTCCCCCTCTCTCTCTATCTCTCTGCTGATGTACTGAGGATATTTTAAGAGATTTAAGATATAAAAATGGTACAGAAAATGCGATATAGTTGAAGAAAATGCCTTTGTGAATGTAAAATGCTTAGTGACATGAGACGGATACACACAGATGAAACAAATATTGAGCCACGAAAAATCCTTTAACTACTCGAAGAATGCTGCTGGCTATTATCAAGAGCACAGGGCCTCTTAATGGAGATTAACGAAAGCAGAGGACTTGGTACAAAAGTCCCAATACCAAGTGTCAGAGACATGAAGTGCTAGGTCTGAAGATAATTGCAGAAGACAGACAATTTTAAGATTAACTAAAAGATGTAAAACTAATTGCATAAAATATAGCCATTATTAAGTACGTATATTGAACAGAATTTTGTTTGTAATCATCGTCTGTATACCTACATCTCAAAGACATTCAAGCGTTTAAGCATAGCCTCACTATAGTCCACGGTTCCACTCCATACAGTAGCACTGGAAAAATGTAGCAATATGCCATTCAAACACGAAAGTCAATACTAAAATCGTAGCTGCGGCTTTTAATTTCTACGATTGGATCCCAGCTCTCATTCATATTACTGCTGGGATACACGAGTTTCTCTACTATGTCCAGTACGGCATCCATACTCCGATCTTTATACCGTCGTCTCCGCAATTAGCCAGCAGTAAGGTATCGTCGGCATATTTAAAAAGTAAAGGCGAGAGTATACAGCCTTGTATCTCCTCTTTTTATATTTATTTCATCTGACAGTGCTAGTTCAACTTTTGTCCTTACTACTTGATGCCAGTATAAAGATAGTACGAGAGTTTATAGCAATGTGAGCTCTGGATGTCATGAAGTTATAGTGAGATGGAAATTCAAAAAGATAGTCAAAGAGTCATTTAAATAGTACCCTAAAATACAATCATGTATTTTAAACAAGTATCTTTAAAATTAAATATACAAAGATCCACGCCAATGCAACATCCAAAAACCAAAAACCATCAATTGATTTAACAACCGTCTTAATAATTGCTTGAAGTTAACCATGCCATTTAATAACATAAAGTTATCATTGTATAATTAGACAAATTAATAAAATGTACATACTTGACTTTCACAACATTACATGCTGACGATTTTCCACTTCTATGATTGGTGACAAGTACAAATTCTACAGTATCGCCAACTTGAAGACTAACATTATCTTTGACTTCTGTCATATGGAAAAACAGTTTTTTTCCCTCCTCTACTTCATAAGCCAGAAATCCAAAATGTCCTTTAATCGCGTCAACAGTAGCTTTTAATTTTTTTCTTACGGCTATTATATTCGCAGCTCTACCAGTGGTATCTACTTGAAACTGAACATGATCACCAATCTAAAATTTAAATATTAAACGAATTGTAATTAATTTAATATGTATTTCATTAAATACAACTACCACATCCCATATTTTAATTGAAATTTGTATGTAGTAGCTCAGGAAATTTAAGGAATATATGTAAATGTATCCTCAACCTTACAGACTAATCACTTACCTGAAGTAGTTCCCGTTTATTTACAAGTCCCATAATTCCAAATTCATATTCTTGAACTTTTTCATTTTGATTTTCAGCTTTAGTTCTAATTAGTCCGGAATATTCAGTCTGATCGGGATTCACAGAACGAAGAGGTCGTACCACTGTACCTTCTAGAATGTCCCCACGGAATTCTGGAAGAGCAATTGTACCTTTTGGGATTACTTTGACATTCTCTGCCGAGGAACAAGAACCAGAATTTCCACGGGTTCCCAAGTTGTATTCGACTTCTGTGCCTAGATCTAAGCTATTGGATTCACCCTCAAAATTACTAAAATTAAAGTTGGTATTAGTATTTTATATATTTATGATTTTATCAAATTTATTGAAAATGCTGTTTTTTTTATTAGGGGGAGAGAAAGTCAGATATATTTTGTGCTTTGTAGAAGAAGCCAGCTAAAAGAGGTTACCAGCTGTAAAACATAAAGTGTGAGTGTGAACTAGTGATGTAACGAATATTCGCATTCGCATTCGCGAATATTCGCATATTTTTGCATATTCGCATTTGCATTCGCATTCGCAAAATTTGTGCGAATGTTTTGCGAATCTTACACAGCTTGCATTTAGCTCGTTCAGTATCGAAAAGTGGTGAAAAATAAGTGCATATTTCACTATAATTTGATTTACTCATAGTAATAAATCGCTAATCACACTTTAACTAAAAATTCACTTGTATTTGTGCACGAGCAGAGCAGGGCAAGTGGAGTGACTTGTGTCCAGTGAAATTTTTATTGGAACTATAACCAGAGAACTTAGTTCTCTGCTATAACTCTCTCTCTATAACAAGTCAAATTTGATTATAACAAGAGAAAATAAGATCGAAAAACGTGCTTTCTACTTTTTGGCCCGGACGTGACTATAAATAAATACCTTTTTAAACGACCCCTCAATAAACTTAACCGCCTACAATAAACTTCTTTACAATAAATACAACTGTTTCACATCTTTACTTTAGCAAATATGATAGAATGATACTGGACAATTTAAAGCAGTTAAAAATGACAGACTTTTTCCAATTGCCTACACACCTCGCGCAAATGAGACTGCCGGCAGTGCCGGAGATAATTAAAATTGCCAAATAAAAAAAAAAACTGAATATTCGCATTCGCATTCGCGAATGTCGGTGGCATATATTCGCATTCGCGAATGTTTAAAAAATGACATTTGTTACATCACTAGTGTGAACCTAGTTAATATAAACCAGTGATAATGGGTATGGAGATAATATTTAATCTTGTAATGAATGTACAAAGTAAGGGAGGGGGAAAACTAGGACGACTAGGAGATTTAAATAACTTGGCTTCTTCATAACAGAAAATGGTATACTAGATTGAGAAATTGCCAAGAGATACTGGCTAGTTTTGAGTCGTGTTCTAGTTCGCCTACGAATCGGACGTGCCTATCGACAAAGCGAAACGAAATAAACTGTATTTGTTTAAAAATTGTGTTTTATACACCTTAAAATTTGGTGTAAAAATAAAATTAGATTGTGAGTTAAGAACAATTAAATGGACCAGTTAGTCGGGGGGAAACCCCCAGACGACCCAGCGCCCCCAGATATACGTCAAAAAAATATAGTTTTTGGTGAAAGTGAATGTGTAAATATGGATATCTCCACAGGTGCAGAGCTGACACCTCTTAATAAGAATATCATTTCCAACCAAGATCTCCAACCAGTAAGTAGAAATAATTTATTAATAAATCCAACCTCGTCAAAAAATAATATACAAACAACAACAATGAGCATTGATAACACGTCGAAAGAAAGAGAGGAGTTTTTGTATGTAAGTACCGATTTAGGCCCGTATCATATTTATATTGAGAATAATTCGGTCGAGTTTAAAGGTAAATTACAACCACTTAAAATCGGAGATATAATTCTTTCTAACTTTCCAGAGATATCTCAAGTATTGTTATGTTATAACTGCCTCCGTTTTGGTCACCTAGGGGGTCAGTGTCGAAGTAAACCAAGATGCAGCAAATGTCAGGAGTCCCATACCACACAAGATTGTAATAGTTCAGATTACACACCAAGCTGCTTTAACTGTCAAGGAGAACATCTTACCACTAATTTGTCTGCTTGTCCAGAATTTAAAAGACAAAAAATTGTAAAGGAAACCATGAGCTCTTGCAATATTAATTTCTTTGATGCAAATAAACAGGTCCCAAGAAATACGTACGCAAATATAGTCGCTCGTAATAAATCTGCCATGGAAAGTGGTCAAATATCCTCGACAAATTATTCCCAACGGCTTCAATCTGGACCTACCCCTTCTAGTACAATACAGTATCATTCCTCTCAACCTCAGTACTTACAGTCCCACAATTTACAACCCAAATCCTATAATAACAATTTTACTAAACATATGTTTTTCTTCCCCTACAACTTCAAACCCAAACAAAAGGCACAGGCCAACCAGCCCTGATCCCATTGAAATTTCAAGAAAAGAAATACTTACACAACCAAATACCTCTCTTGTCTCAGGGGGAATTTTTAATAGTCAACATTATTTAAAAAACTCAGCCGGAGTAAAATTACAATCGGAGGAATTAAATGCAACAATAAGTTTAGTTTTAGAAGTAGTTCTCAATATTATAAGTAATATAAAACAAACAAACAATTTCGATGTATCAAAATCTGAAATAGTGGAATTAATTAGTAAACATGTAAACCATACCTTGTCTTCAAATTCGCAGACACAAACGCAAACATAAATTTGCTGCAATGGAACTGTCGTTCTGCAGTAGCTAATAAAGTAAATCTAGAATATCTGCTATATCAAAATAATATTTCCATAGCATTGCTTTCAGAAACGTGGTTTAAATCAAAATACTATTATAATTTTAAAGGTTACAATTGCTTTAGATCAGATCGGGCAGACGGATATGGTGGAACTGCCATTTTATTAAAATCAAACTTAAGATGCGAAGAAATAAATCTAAAAATAGATATCCTTTCACTCATAAATGTATTTCAGTTAAAATTTTCCGAGGTAAAAATCCCATCAATATTGTGTCAGTTTACATTGAACCAAAGACTAAGATATCTGAAAGTCAATGGTTAGAATTCTTTAAAGACATACCTAAACCATTTATTGTTGGTGGGGATTTTAATTGCCACAGTATCGCATGGGGCTGTGAAGGAGAAGACAGTTATGGTAAAAAACTTCTAGAATGTATTGATCATTGTAATTTAATATGTCTGAATGATGGATCGCCCACATTAGCAACTAGTAAGAGTCCATCCGCTATTGACTTAACCTTTTGTACAAAAGATATTTCAAAATTTTTTACTTGGAGAGTCCTACAGGACCCTCATGGATCCAACCATCTCCCAATTATTATTAACATGGAAACAGATCATATAACTTCATTTCCAGCTCAAAATTGCCACAAGATCTGGAATCTTAACAAGGCCGATTGGAAATTATACACATCTGTACCAGAAGCTGAAAATTCTCCTGGAAACTATCAAACTCTAATAGCAAACATTAATAAAGCAGCCAATTTAGCAATACCAAAGTTCTCATCTAACGGAATACATAAAAGACGAATTTCGAACCAATGGTGGTGTGAAAGTTGCAAAACCGCCGCTGATAACCGAAAAACTGCATATGGAAAATATAAACAAGATCCTACAAGAAATAATTTAGTTGAATTTAAGAGACTTGACGCTGTCGCAAAAAAACTCTTCAAACAAAAGAAAAAACAGAATTGGGTAGAATACTGCGAAAGCCTAAATTCAAAAACACAAATCAGTGAAGTATGGAAGAAAGTAAACGCTTTTAAAAATCGCAAACAGTCCAACAAGATTCCAATAGACCCAGAATCCAGCTGGCTAGATGAATTTCATAAGAAAATATCTCCTCAGTGGGTACCTTCACAACATTTTCCAGAATACAGCGAAACAGTGTCAAGAGATAGGTTTGGCTTAGAAGAACCATTTAAAATGTGGGAGTTAGAGCGAGCACTTAGTCAACAAAATATCAGTGCTCCAGGTAAAGACAATATTTCATATTCCATGATATACCATATTCCTCACCACTATAAAATATCATTATTAAATATTTTTAATGACATTTGGAATGATACGTCACAAATTCCAGACAGCTGGAAGGAATATATTCTAATACCTATTAAAAAGCCTGGGAAACCAGAAAATTGCAGTAGATCATATAGACCAATATCCTTAGCCTCTTGCTTCCTAAAGACGCTAGAAAGATTAATAAAAAATAGAATTGAACATTGGTTAGAGCAAGAGCATATTCTCCCAAAATCTCAGTATGGATTCAGAAAATCAAAATCAACCCAAGATGCCATAACTGCCTTAGTCTCATCCATACTAATAAACTTTACTGATAATATGTATACTATGGCTGCTTTTCTTGATGTCTCCTCTGCATTCGATACCGCTAACTTGGACATTATGCATAAAAAGCTATTAGATATCGGCTTCCCCATCACCATAGCTAACTTTCTCAGGACATTGTACACTAATAGATCAACTTTTTTAAAAATCAACCATTCCATCTCTCCTCCACGTCTTACAAATATAGGACTTCCACAGGGTAGTATATTAAGCCCAATACTATTTATTTTATATAATATGGATATAGAAAATTGTATTAATAACCCAACAAAAATTATTCAATATGCTGATGATGTAGTAGTTTACACAGCCCACAAATCATTGGATATATGTAAAAATAATTTTGATGTCTCAATTAAAGCTGTTCTTAATCACTATGGAAATATTGGTTTAGAAATATCAGAATCTAAAACAGAAATTTGTATTTTCTCTAGAAAACATCAAATTCCACAAGGTCATCTGGAAGTAGGTCAAATTCAATTCCCTATTAAAAATTGTATAAAATATCTCGGTACTTATTTAGACAGAAAACTTCTATGGAAGGATCAAATTCATCAAGTCATAAAAAAGTCTGAAAATGCAATGAACATTCTAAGAGCCTTTTGTAGAACTAACTGGGGCGCTGATCCAAATGTAGCACTTTTATTTTACCGCACAATGATTCGTCCCATTTTCGATTACAGTTGTCATTTGTATGGAACTGCCGCAAACACACATTTAAATAAATTAGAAATACAAAAAAATAAATGCCTTCGGCTTTGTCTTGGATATTTGACTTCTACACCTGTTAATATAATGGAAGTTGAGGCGATAGAACCACCTCTGAAATTTCGACGGGAGTTTTTAAGTGATAAATTCATTACTAGAGCCATAGGGAAAAATACTAACTATCTACAGGATATTCATATTTTATCAATTTTAGATCTAACTCATAAATATTGGACAAAGAAAAAATGTTCTCTTCTGGTAAATAGTTACTTGAGGATATCTCAATACCGACATACTTTCTATACGTATGAAAACCAAGTTTCACCTATATATTCCCATATATTAGAAGAGCTTTTCTCAAAACATATTAATACCTTTTTTATGGAGGGTAATTTAAATCCAGTCGCTTTTCAATCATTTACACGGCATAAATGGCCAAATTATCAGTTTTACTTTACAGACGGATCTAAAGTACAAAACAAAGTAGGATGTGCATTAATTAATACTCAAAGTGGATTTAAAAAATTATTGAAATTGCCAGCTGAATCATCGATATACACTGCTGAAATGACAGCGATTCTTTTGGCATTAAGGCATATACATAGTAACGACCCCTACAACTGCATAATATTTACAGACAGTAAGAGTGTAGTCGACAGACTAACAAACGTACATAGGTCCAAACAACTAAATCATATAGAACTAGAAATTATGACTATTTACAATAAAATTACAAATTTAGGGAAAAACATTATTATATCATGGATAAAGGGACACGCGGGCATTAAGGGCAATGAAATAGCAGATAGCCTAGCCAAATCCGCCCTAGACATAGGCGAGGAAGCCCCCTTGAACTTACTCCCCATTTCAGACATTGATATAATTAGTATACGGCATCAAAAAGAAAAATGGCAAACATATTATCAGAACACGAGAACTGGAAATAATTACAAACAAATGCAGCCTGAAATACCCATAAAAAGATGGTTTCATACTATATCAAACCGCCATTTCATAAGGGTTATAAACAGATTAAGATCTAATCATGCTCTTACCCCCCTTCATATGTACAAGTTGGGTCTCGCGGAGTCACCTAATTGCAAGTGCGGAAAAGAAGGTAACCTATTACATATTTTCCTTGAATGTTCCCACGAATCAGTAAACATAAACAAATTTTATGATAATCTTATTATATTAAAAATTCCACTTCCCGTCTACCTAAACAATTTGATTTTCTCTAGAGATATCAATATATTAAAAACGATTTACGAACATATCAAAAACTGTAAATATAAATTGTAGCTTAAAACTAACCCTTATATATAAGTAAATTTTTGTATTATAGCAGAAAAAAATATATATATATATATAAAAAAAAATAAAAAAAAAAAATAAAAATTATAAAAAAAAAATTAAAAAAAAATATATATATAAAAAAAAAATAAAAAAGAAAAAAAAAAGAATTAAAAAATAAAAAGGAAGATGTAAACCTCCGAGATGTTGAATCGGGTTACGTCTTAGCGCAGAAAAAAAAAATACTGGCTAGTTGTTTTAACTGGAAGCGAATGAACGGGGTACTAGTTATTGAAAATCGAGGAAGGGCTGAACCATGGACGTATAAACACAGATGGACTCAGTTATTTACATAAAATTGTGAAGTCAAAATTATTTAAATATGTCACATTCTCAGCACCTCCAACTGTTGTCACGTTTTTTTATTAAAATTTCTTATTCGCGAGTCGCTGAAAATATTACTCCGTATTTTATACTCTACAGGTGCTATCAAACCAAAATAATAATTTATTGGTTATATTAATATATCTAATTGTAATCAAAATATCAAGTGTGCACATAGTGTGCATTATCATTTAATAATAGCGTATAATAGATATCAATCAATTATTTTATATTTAGAAGCACTGAAAACTATTTATAAATGGCAACGGTTGTTTACATTTCTCTGTTTTACGGTTCTACGTCAAACTTCAAATGCTATTCCATGTTTGTTTACAACGATTGAGGAAATAAGGAAAAATTGTTTTTAGATATTTTGGCTGTATTTTGAGTGATATTTGTAAAAAGTGAAATAAAATAAACGAAATATTTACATCCCGGTCCCTCATTTCATTTGTAAGTACATACAATTTACATTATTTAAGAAGAGGAAATGAAAAAGCGTGTTTGTCTACATTTTAATAGGCGTACCATTAGTTTTATTCATGTTCATTAATGTATTCAATAAGATATAATAAAATTGTATTTTAATTTTTCTATAAAGACGTGATTTGTTAATAGTTAAATTCTCGTTTTTTTTTTTAATTCTTTGAACGTGTTTTTATACATTATTACTACTTCCAATTTTTAAAATCTGAATAATTACCCGCGAGTAAAAATTCAAGCACGCTTATACTCATTGCGGAAGCATCACATTCTATCGAAGCTTCAAAACATTGTGTGTTAAAGGTATCTTATTGCTGTGTCCATCTATGTTTATACGTCCATGGGCTGAACGGTAAGATATAGTACAAGAATGTGGGTCCTGCGTTGGTATACAGTGTCGAAGTTTGGCCTGTAAAGAGGGTTTAGGAAAAGAAGATGAAGGTAGCTGAAATGAAGTTAGGGTGGATAGAGAATCAAGTAGTTCACTTGAGCTTGATCTACTTGATTCATGCATATTTTGCAAATACAACTTCAAAAGATAGATGGTACATACAACAAAGCAGTTACTATAATAAAGATGAAAAAGTATTACTACAGAAAAAAAATCATGGCCTAGTACTGTAGAAGTAAAAATTACATAAGTATACATTTAATAGTGGTAGATACTACCAGCTATAGACAGAAGATACAATGCGCAGCAGAAGAGGTGCGGCAGAAAATATCCAGAGTAACACAAAGCAGCTAGTTCTCTTTATCTAAACATCTCTTTCAAAATGTAAGTAAAGACGCAAACGTAACACAATTAGACCAAATTTAACTGATGAAAATTCAACTTGAAATGTAAAGAAAAAGCTTAATAGGGACGCAGAAAAGCGAAAAACAAAGAATTTTATGTTTTTGTAAAAATATGGATTCATCTAGAACAAAAAGTAAAAAAGCAAAAAAAAGTGGGAGGCTAAAAGAAAAATATTTTAATAATATTCAATGTGAGACTAAAATCTACTCTACACCGGTTTGAAGGTTTTTAGGCTGATAATGGTGAATAGTGGCGTTTAATCAATATTAAAATGAGCAGCCTAATCGGTATTACTTTTCATTTTATCCCATTTAAAATCATCTTACAAAGCTTACACCCACCGGGCATTTTTAATAATTATGTCAATCAAACGTCATATAACCACTGGTGGAAATAAGATTAGGGGAAGACTTTATGACATCAATGTATAATATACACATATTAAAAACCTATACACAATATTTTAAATCAATATTACCTCGATTATTATTTTTTTAATATAAATTTTTTAGTTAATATTAGATTATATCAGATTATTGGAATACTTTTAAAACAAAGTTAACATTAAACAAACAGAAAGGTATTCCCGAGTTTCCTGAGTTAAATATTTCAAGTTTTGATAAAATAGTTATTAATACACATATTGAATGGTGCTCTCATATAATATTTTCTGACAGAGAGGTGGAAAGCACACATAAAAAATCTAGAAAGTCAAAATCAGGGCAGACATGTCTAAAAACAGTTGAAAAGTGAGTATATGTTGATTATCAAAAATAAAAAATTACGATTTGTTGAAAGATCGCAAAAGGAATTAATTGAGAAATGAAAGGAAGTAACATATAAACGAATTAAAATAAGGAAATCATGTGGAGGATGACCTAATACAGCTAAAGTCGATTTAAAATTAATGCTAACACTGATACAAATAGTATTTCTTTTATGATAATTACCTAAAATGGAAGAAAACCTCCTTGTCATGTTGTATAGTTTCTATAAATCCAAAACCATCTTTTAATGCAGCAATAAATCCTTGGTAGAGTGGCCCTCCAGAGGTTCTAGAGATGCTGTGCTTAATTCCGTTTGTTTGTACAGCTGGTTGTATAACTTCCACATCTGTTGCAATAAATTCTTTATTTCTTTTAACTTGGTTGATATTAAACTGAACCTATGAAAATAAAAAAACTTCACTTTGATGTTGATGTTAGGTTAAAAAATTTTAAAAACGGAAAGAAATAGAGACATATTAGAATGTTACAGTTTGGCAACTTTTACGACAATATTTGAAATATTCGAAATATTAAATTCACTATTAAAAGGGAATTATCTCCACGTCCTACCGACAACCCCATCTAAATGCGAGAGGTAAGAATCAAAGCAGAAGAAAACACTACCAACTGCAAGAATTAAGCGACATAGGCGCTAATAGTCGTCCCACTTAGACTTCCAAGATGCTGCCACCCAAAGGGAAACTATCGGCGATCTCTATTAATCGTGTTCCTGAAGCTCGCCCAAGTAAGGTGTTCCTTGCGGTGACAGGCCGCCGCACGTGGTAGGTTTACTTGTGTAAAATTATTTGTTACATTATTATACAATTATTTGTTGCAAGTTGACAATTGCTTGTTGCTGGACTATTTTACATATTTTGTCGCGCTGTGAACATTATAACCGTTTATGTTAATTTCATTATAATTGAAATTATTATCAACTTTAAATAAATATTTGTACCTTTCTGATGTCCTAATATGTTAGAGGCCACCATATGATCAGAAAGCCACATAGAGAAAATTATAGCTTTAATCTACATAGAGACGTGAAAAAATAACCGGGATAAGGAAAAACCAACAAATCAGTACCACAAATCAAATGATATAGATAGGAAAACTTATAACATTACAAAATTATTCGATGGTGATAGGCCGAAAGAAGCCCTAGACGAGGCCATACATGAGTATTCAGAAATTTTATATTGAAAAGTAGCTTATGGAATAAAACAAACCAATAAACCAATATACTCGACAACCATACTACCTAAACAGTGGTTTTTTTTTCAAACCATATTAACAGATTATAACTATATACTATTTACAACTTGTATTTACATATTTTAACATGTTTGTAAATGCAATGAAGAATTTCCATATTATTTGAAAATAGTAAAATATTAAGATTTATTGGAAAACAACACTTAGAATTTATTAATTCCTTATAAAGTTCGTTTATATTATTCATTTGTAAATCACATTCTAATATAATATGTGTTAGATCGCCTATTTTACCGCAAGTACAATTGGGAGTATTTGATAAGCCGATTCTATTAATGTAAGATGGCGTAAGATAACAGTGGTTGATATCAACGTTTATTCCAACACCGAAAAAGAATACTGCTATCGAACGACTGTCCTTATGAATAACCTTCTAAAACCTTTTTTGAAATATATCCACAACCAGATCTACAAAAAAACTAGATTTAGAAATAAGTGAATATTAACTAGGGCTCATCAATGAAACTGAAACAAGAGAGGCATTTTTCGGCATGAATGCTAACACAAAGATGTCTGGATATGAATCAAGATATGTATATGTTACGAGCAAAGCCCGAATTGAAAAATCCTAGCATTGCACGGAAATTATTGTCCACTTCTAGCATTGAATCCCCAAACTGTAAAATGTCCGAAATGATCAAATTTAAAAATGATTATCGAAACGCTCATCGATTCGAATCGATTATTATTGACAAGCGACACACCAAATGAAAATCGAACATTTCTTGTTTTATTTTATATTTTTATATTTTCTATTTATACATAGAGTTGCTCTTTTTCGAATCGACAATGTGATAACATGTTGTGTCAAACTAAAATATAAATAGTAAGAAGAAATTGTGCTACAAAAGAGTGATAATGTTAGTGAAACATTTCAAAGCTTCCAGAGATAGATACATTACTTTAATACAGCGAAGATGTTTGTGAATCATTTCAGATTTTCAAGAGATGTGTATGATAATTAAAAATAATTTAATCCTACATTCCAGAAGCCAGAAGTCACAAGCCCTAATTAACTAAGGGTTTATAACCTCACTAATGTTTGTTTGTCCTTAATAATAAATAGATATTACGAATAATCGTAAAAATCAATATAAATGGATGTCTGTCATATTCTCCCAAACTTTGACGCATGGCTACTTATTGAAATTCAAACATTGTACAGCAATTCTTTTATAGAAAGTCCGCCGATTATATTTATTTCGGAGATTGTACAGTACAATGCTAGAAGTGGACAAGATTTTCCATACAATGCTAGGATTGTCCAATTTTGGACATTGTTCGTAACATATACATACTTTATTGATTTTGAGAAAGCATTTGATTTAATAAGGTTAGGCATGACAATATTCTCTCTCTCTTCAGTCCTGATCCCCTGGAAAGAGTGTAGTGGTCATTGTGATGTTTACTGCCTGTCTCCAAAGATCTCTGTCTATGGTCATTTCTTTAACTCTTGCATAAATTTTTTGCATATTCGAGTAATTTGGTAGATCTATCTTGTTGGGGATCTTGGGCTTTTACCTTTCCTTGAATAATAAGGTCTTTCTATGTTTTCTGTGTATGCTCTCATAAAATGGCCAAAGTAGTTTAATTATTGGACATGGAGTTTGGTGAAAAGCCGTTTGTTGGCTTTTAGCTATTTAAAATGGAATTATTTGTCCTGTGATCGGTCTACGGAATTCGTAAAAATCTTTTTCAACAGAACATTGCCGCTATCGAACATTGGCGTCTATTAGCTTTCTTTCAGCTGGTCGTAGGGTCCAAGATTCACATCTGTATGTTAGTATTAGGAATATTAAGCAGTTGATCAACCGCATTTTTAGAGTTGGCATGACAATATTAATAACACCTTAAAGAAAACATATATTGATGAACAGGACATCAGACTCAATGAGCATTTATATTGGAACTACAAATCCGGGCCGGGTATTATCTCCCATTTTGGTTAATGTATATAGTGGGGTCATAAATGAAAAAGATAAATTTAACTAAAATAAAATTTATCAAAGAGACTAGAAATCCTACAAATAACCATCTATAATAATATAATAGAAAAAGTAGGGCAACATAAGTATCTTGAAGCATGGTTAGCGAAAGGCGCCGAGTAAGCATGAACATAAGATGCCCTATAGAAATAGCATAAGCCACCTTCTTGGAAATGAAAGTAATAATCAATAGAGACATAACCTTAGAATTAAGAAAAAAAACTATTACGATATGTATTCTCCATATTATTGTTAGGCGTTGAAGCATGGCCGTTAAAAAATCAGACCTACATAAATTATAAGTATTTGAAACAAGGTGGTGCTAAGTAGAATGTTGTGTATACCATGGGTAGACTATTACTAATATAATAAAGAAGTATTGCAAAGAGTGAACAAAGAAGAGAAAATAATGCGAACAGTGAAAAAAAAACGAGAACCGAATATGCAGTGTTGTGACTAATAATGGAAGGAAAGATAAACGACAAGAGCAGTATTAGAAGGAGAATTTATTGGCTTATAAATTCAAGGGAGTGATTTAATATGAGTTCCACTTAATTACTAAGGACGGCTGTTAATAAATTTAGAATCGCCATAATGATTCAAAACCTCCGATAGGAGAAGAAACTTTAAGGGCCGATTCTACAATGCTAGTAGACTTCATTTAGGGTCGGTTCTACAATTCAGTATAAATTGGAGTATAATTATTCTACTTGAGTTTATTCCAAGTATAACCTTTCGAGCGTTCTACATTATGAAATCGACAGCGGAATAGTTATTCTGGGTAAAACCACAGAACACTAAGGTAAAACGAAATAGTATATCTGATATGCTCAAAATTAGTTCAAATTGTTATTGACAGTGACATTTGGCAGTTGTCGTAACTATAAAATTTGTAATTCGAATAAATTGATTTGCTTGTCCATTATTCTCGCACCACTATGTCCATTATTCTCAATTCTGCATCGCATACAGTCTGAACATTCCACCTGGTGATTGGATCCGGATGTGGGAGTGCAGTCTATTGCGCCTAAATAATACTGCCTAATAAAATTTTTGTTTCAATTCCTGCAATTCCATTTCTGCAGCAGGAAACTTTATGTTGTGTTTCGTAAAGTGCATATTGCTTCCGATACTTGCTTTACAATTACACAAGCAGGTGTTTTACCAACACCTACAAAATCTGCAGCTGCGCTCAGACTGAGACAATAATCTTCCTTCTATTTTGTGCAATAAAATTCTGCATGTATGTTTCTGTAAACGAAAACGAGTGAAGAACTCTAATTCGTCATCCTCTTCAAAATAGTGTGTCCTAAAAATGTAATTTTGTTAAGAATTCAAATGCTATATAAATATATATCTAATTCATACCGAATTCTAAAGGTTTTTAGTTGCCTTGTCCAGTTAATATTAATATTAACTGGACCCATATCAAAAATTTTTATTTATACATAAAAACAAACAAAATCGCAGTTCAAAGATCTAACGGCATAAAGTGAGGTTAAAATATTACAGATTTGACAACCCCTGGCCAACCAATAGAAATGTAGTATAAATTTATACTCAGTATATCTGCTCAACTTTGGAGGGATAAAGTTATTCTACAGATATATTCCGATTATCTTATTCCTTGTTTATTATTTGTTGGTAGAACACCATTAATGAACGTATTCCAAGTATAACTTTATTCTCAGTATATACTAGCATTGTAGGACCGGCCCTAATGGTGTTCTACAAATAAAGAATAAACAAGGAATAAGATAATCGGAGTATATCTGTAGAATAACTTTATCCCTTCAAAGTTGAGCAGATATACAGAGTATAAATTTATACTGCATTTCTATTGGTCGGCCACGAGTTGTCAAATCTGTGATATTTTAACCTCACTTTATGCCATTCGAGCTTTGAACTGCCGTTTTGTTTATCTTTATGTATAAAATAAAATTTTTTAAATATGGATACACTTAATATTAAGATTTTTGAATCTGATGTTGAAGATTTTAAAGAAGGAATACCTAGGCTCAGCCATCCAAGAACATTTAGAATACGGTATGAATTAGATATATATTTATGTAGCATTTAAGTTTTAACAAAATTAAATTTTTTATAATAGAAGGAAGAATATTGTCTCAGATTGAGCGAAATTTTAATTTAAATAATTGTATAAATTGTTATGACGAAAAATATTTTTTGCTCTTAAAAACTGTTTGTGTTTAATTTTAAATATATTTTCTCAATTAAATCAATTATAATTTACTATACACAGTCATTCATATTAAAATCTTTTTTTATATACATTACATGTCTTTTTACAATTTTTTTATGTTTGGTAATTGTCCCAATGTCACTGATAACAATTTGACCTAATTTTAAGAACATCAGATCTACTATTTCGTTTTACCTTAGTGTTCTGTTGTTTTACCCAAAATAACTATTCCGCTATCGATTTCAGAATGTAGAACGCTCGAAAGGTTATACTTGGAATAAATTCAAGTATAATTTATACTCAGAATAATTATTCTCCAATTTATACTTGGATTGTAGAACCGGCACGAAGAAGAACTTATTTATGGAATAAAATAGGTAACATTAAAAAAAGTGGGAAACGTACACAAACAAGTAAACACATCGAAGTGTCAAAAGCTGTTATTAAGATATGGTGCATGATAACATACACACATGCACATAATATTAAGACATCTTCTTCTTCTTATAGTGCCTATTCGTTTTGGGTGTTGGCGACCATCTTGGCAATATGTATTTTACAATACATAGATTTTTCAGCTAGGAAATCCTTCGCCTTTCTGGACCTCGTTTTCCTTCTACTTTTCCTTGTAGAATTAATTGCAGCAACCCATATCTTTCGCTGTTTCTAATGATGTGACCGAGTTATTTCATTTTGTCTGTTTTTATTGTGGTTATCAAGTTTTCCTTTTTGCATTCTTAATAAAATGTCCTAGTTAGTAACGTGGTCGTTATGGGATACCTTCAGAAATCGACGATAAAGCCACATTTCAAAAGCCTCAATTTTATTGCAGGTAGCGTCTGTGAGAGTCTACGACTCAATTCCGTAAAACAGTACAGGAAAGATATAACATCGTAGTAACCTTATTTTTATGGGTACATATCAATCATGACATTTGAATAGCTTAGCCATTTTTTGAAATGCAGATCCTGCTTTCTTTATTCTACATTTTATTTCTAGGGAATGGTCCCAATTTTATTTGACGTTCGTACCAAAGAAGTATGTTTTTACTCTATATTGATTCAGTCACACTTGATTCTTTCAATTTGCTGTTCGTTCTTAGAGATCATCATACTTTGTTTTCTTAATGTTCAATGAAAGTTCATATATCTGACCCCCTTCTGTGATTCTATTCATTAACTCCTGGAGGAGCTTCTTAACTGTTAACAAATACCAACGTCTCATCGGCTTATCTGAGTAAGGGTAATAGTATACATCCATGATATAAGGAAACAAGGTATGCTCACTAGGTGGACTCGTTTTTGCACATCGCTGCCCCGACCAAAATCCACCATTTTTTCAATACGTCACATGCGTGACGTCTGCTTTGTTTACGTCCAGCTAAGTGTTTTGCATTTTAGAGTAAAGTTAGTGTTTCAATAATAATGCCAAATTGTGCTGTTAAACAATGTTCCAATTGGTATGGGAATACAAAAAATAGAAAAGTACGATATTTTTCTATCCCAAAAGTACATATTTGTACATATTTGAATTGCCGCCTTCAAAATGGCGGATTTTGGTCGTAAACGCGATTGGCTGTTCAAAATAGATGCGTGTGAGCATACCTTGTTTCCTTATATCATGTATACATTACTGTCGGACCTCACGTTTGATTTTGATATCATCAGATTCTCCTGCCTCTGTACTGATAGACGATGTTTGTTTCCAGTAAATATTGCTAATAATTCTTAGATCACAGGTGTTTATTCCAATATTAGTTAATATTTCTATCAGCTTGTTATGTTTTACTATATCGAACGCTTTATGGTAATCAATAAAGCATGCATAGTTAAGATATGGTGCATGAGTATTATCAGCTACTTGAAAGCAATCAGTATTCATACGTTGGGAATTGTTGTGTTAAATTTGACTTCATATTATCAAATTATCTAACCTTGAAAATCCTCGCAGATGTACTGTCTTAAGTTGATACAACACTTTGAACGTAGTTGTTGAATCAATGGTACATTTATTAAGATAAAACCCAAACCAACTTCCAAAAGTCAGTGAAAATAATTATCAGAGTGAATTTTTTAAACATGTCTCACGACAGGAACTAATAGCTTTCAAATATTTATATTATAATACTTACTTTATCCCCAACTCTTGGAACTTGCTTAACAGAGCAATCCTTGGCATAGAATGAAATAGTCTTTTTGATTCCGTTAATACAGTAACCTATTAATCCACATTCATTATTTGTTTCTCCAGTCACACTGCTTTGGCTCTTTGTAGGACTTCTGTTGTTCCAATTGCTCAATGGTAAGTCACTCGTTACAATACCCGTAAGCTCATTCTCTATTCTAATTTCAAACTGTACAGTACCTTAAAAACAAAGTTTTGTTAATTCAAGATATTCATTAATAATATTAACAAAACATAATTCGGGAACACGTTTGACTCAAAAATAAATTCATAAACTAAATTGATTAAAGAAAACTAATAAACGCAAGAAAAACTCATTGCCTAGGTATCTCAGAAATAAGTATAATCTGTCACGAAGTAGTAATCTGTCTAATACTGTTTTTATACATTTAGCCGTTTCGAATCGACGCGCGACGTTAATCACTAGGTCACATATACAGGGTGAGTCATGAGGAACTGTACATAATCCTTCTTAACTCGCATGGAGGCATCTGGGGGATTACCAAGTGACCATTAAGTGTCTACTTCAATTGTTCAATAATATACGGGACGAGTTGTGAATTTTGACTGAAATTTCCACCTACCACTAATCTACTACCACCTAATCAACTGATTTATTCAAACTAAAAAAGATCAGATTTATTTTTAAAAAATTAGTTTGTTTTGTTCATAAAAAAATTGCACAGGAACAGTGCAATTAATATTGCATATTTATGTTTTTCTCACACTATTACTTAATTTCTCAGTACAAAAAAATGTGAAACAGATTTTTTGAACAAATATTTAATTTATAATTATTAATACTACCACTCTACTACTACTACCCTTCTACAAGGCTGTGCTACGTCCCCTACTCGGTTTAAAATATTCTTGGAAAAGACCCTCAAACCATGGAGGAGAAAGTGCGAAGGAATGGGCATACCAGTAAGAGACGAATACCTATACACCTTAAGTTTTGCCGACGATCAAGTAGTCATCGCACAAGATGAAGAAGATCTCAGCTTTATGCTCAGAAAACTAGAAGATGAATATAAAAACAACGAAATGGAAATAAACTTAGAGAAAACCGAATACCTAACAACAGAAAACAAGGATATGAGAAACCTAGAGATAGACGAGGAAAGACAAGTAAATGGAACAGATAAATTCAAGTATTTAGGAACCATAATATCGAACCAGGGAACAACAGAAGAAGATATAAACAACAGACTAAGACAAACAAGAAACTGTATAAGACAACTAAATTCAGTGCTGTGGGATAAGAACATTACGATAAAGACAAAAAAGAGAATATATAATACCATGACAAGAAGTATCCTGACCTATGGGTCCGAAAACTGGACAATAAACAAGAGAAATAGGGGTAGAATAAGAGCAGTAGAAATGGAGTTCCTGAGGAGAAGCTGTAGACTTACAAAAAGAGACAGAATTGAAAACGCAGAGATTAAGCGGAGAATGGGAGTGCAATCAGACATAATCGACTATATAGAGGAGAAGAGACTATCCTGGTACGGCCACGTCAGAAGAGCGGACAGAGGACGCTGGATAAACAAAATCACAGAATAGAGCCCGATCGGAAGAAGAAAAGAACCCTGCGAGATGGAGACTGGAATGACAGGGAAAATTGGAGAAAACGGTTGAGTGAAGGAAGACAATGAAAACTGTGGAAATCCTTAGTAGTAGTAGTAATACTACCACAGATAGTGCTATACATTTTAAATAATACAACTCCTTTAATCAATTTCCAGAATTTCAAAAGGTATTGTTTTGTTTTTCCATTCAACAGCATTAGTTACTTGGATTGCCTTGAAGGGTGATTTTTGTTCCTTACGGTCACAACTATCTTTTTTAACCAGGTTTCATGATATTTTGTTATTATGTGTAACATATATTTTTTCCAAAGTTTTGATTCATTTCCCCTTTCTTGCTTGACTTAGTTGTCGAAATATTGTTTTTATACAGTAATTTTTTCACTAAAAGTATCAGCGATAAATTCATTGCATTGGATGCTTATTCTACGGACATATTGTTTTCTACACTCCCCCGAGAAAATTTTCCCGGACATAATTTTTATTATATCATAAAAGGTTCTTAATTTTTAATAATGGTTATGTGTTAGTAATGCTTTAATAATGGTTGCAAATATTTGCCGTTTGCCTTTTTAAAAGTTAAATCTTCTTCTGAATTTCCGAATGCTGGATAGAGGTATATACCGATTGCTCTAAGCTGCATTTTTGATAAGCGGGCATACATCACTTTAGTACATCGATCTTCGAGATTTATATTTGAAAACCAGGTGTCCTGGTTATTTCTCCCATTTCCAAACTTCACCCAATCATCAGAAGCATTTCACTTCTGTTTATCATTTAAACATGTCACTCTAATTATTAATATGACAACTGATGGCATACAATGTGTATTTGGAGAACGATTTTTGAAGTGTAAGTTGCAACATATTTCATCACAAATGTGATCCAATAAAATAAAATATAGTGTAATGCCCAGATAATAAGATCTAATTAATCCCACCTTGTGCTGGTACATTACGTTTATTAAAAAAATATTTCTTGAATAAAAAGTACATATAAATCTAACTTACCTGGTGGTAACCATTTCATTCTAATGGCACTTTGTCGATTGTTAGAAAACATGCTCGAGCTTGTTTGATCTTGAACCACAGTAAATTCAAACTCGTCGTTAACTTGCACTTCGTTGGTGCGTTCTACATCTAGTATTTCATTAAAATGGAAAAACAGCCTTGCCTCCCTCTCGACACATTTTAAGAAACCAAAACCTTCTTTTACGGAGCACACCACGCCCTGTTCTCGTTTTTCTCCAGATACCCTAAACATTATAATAAATTGTTAGTATTCTTCAAATTGGCTTCAAAATTAAACTGATTTGACAGTTACTATCTTATAATAGTAAGTATCAAACATTAAAATGTTTATTTTTATCATTTTCAGAATTGATAATCTTGATAATGATTTATCTGAAATAAACTATTATCCGATGAAAAATCTTTTTATGAGTTTGTGTTTTTTCTTATCACTAAATCATAATCTTTAGGATGAATATTTTATAGCAAGTTGGGAATTTTCGTATGGCTATACAAATAATTATAATAATATGTAATATTATACTAGCAGTTTGACATAATAATGAAAAAGTTTTAATGCTTTTTTGAAACGTATGGTTGTCTAAAAGATGTTGAAATTAATTATGTGTTTATAGTTACTTATATTATGAAATATATTACAATAGTCAACTATATAATCATTTTAAAGGCGTGGTAGTCAAAATAGCCGGACATATTTCAGTCAGAAAATGCAAACATTTATCCGTTTCTAGTGAAATCATTAAATACTATAAAACTCTAGCAGAAGCAATTGAACTGCTAAGTAATTATCAAATGAAATGAATGAATAACCTTATCAATGTTACCACTATTTTTTTAATAATGTGCGTCATGTATGCATTTGTGCAATCGTCTGAATAGTTTGCGCTGTTACGACCAATTGTAAAAGCGGTTTCTTTTTATCAGTTTGTATCCAGTGTAAGTATTTTTGAAAATTTGCTTGAGCCAGCATAAATATAAAAATTGTTCAAACTAAGTGCTTTACCCTTGAAAATTTTATAGTTAGGATAATATTTGAATATTTTTACCAATTAAGTAATTATGGAAACAAAACTGGACAAATAAAAATAAAAATGCTCAAAGGCACTACCTTCCAATAAAGGACAGGTGATTATTATTGTACATTGCGGTGAAGAAAATGGATGGATCGCCGATGCATTATCTCTGTTAAACAATCTACAAATAGGACCCGGAAAATTACAGAGGAATTAATTTATTAAACACAACACTAAAAATTAACAACCAAGGTGATAACAAATAAACTGAATAAAATTATAACACTAGCAGAAGAACAACAAGGTTTTAGGCATCGAGCAAAAAGATAAAAGAGGGAATGTAAATGTAGTGGGAACAAAAATATTGTTAGACAGGAAGTGCTATCTTGAGAGGCCACTTTAAACAAGGAAAGACAGTCTCTTTCCTTGTTTGAGAAGTCAAATTTAGTTTGGTTATGTTATTGTTTGTCCCAACTGTCACATGAAATTTTATTTATATTGAAGTTTTTTACCAATTGTGTCACTTTTTAGACTATTACAGTTAATATTTAATTAAAACTTTCTCGTCTGAAAAATATTTTATAGCTATTGTTAATAAGTGTTGGAAAATTTAAATTTAGCGCCTTTGCATTTCCGGATATGTCCGCCATCAGAGGCCACTTTTTTGGTCTCCTTTTCATAACGATTAGATTCCCTCTTTTATCTTTTTGCTCGATGGTTTGGTTTTAGGTCGGGAAGATCATGCAAAAATCATTAGAATACAACAAACCGGTATATCTATTTTGACCGGGTTAAATTAAAAGATTAAAAGAGCGGGGGGGGGAGGCGCTGGGCGCTAAAGGGAGGGGTAGAATGCGAAAACATGGAGTTGCTTCCAGTTTACTTCACTTAGCCTCTTCTACTCAAATCCGACTCTCACCTTCACGCTGGTGTCCCCTGTTCGAACAACCCAACTGGAGATCCGGTATCCAACCCGGGTGAAAAGTTGGGTCGGAAACTGACGAGAGCGGGTGAACTGACTGGTCCTCCAGGTTGGGGGTTGAGCGTAGGGTTAACACCCCGACACCGTAAAAAACTGCATGTTACGAGAATTCCGGAAGGTAAAGTTTCCGGACTGAAATCTAGACGACGACTCAGCGCGAAAAAAGACTATGATTTAGGATTATTCTCGTGGAATGTAAGATCTCTTAAACAGGACAGGAGCCTTGCAGTCTCTGATTAATAGTGTAGAAGTATATAAGAGCGATATAATTGCACTTCAGGAAATGAGATGGTTGGGAAATAAAATATTAGAAAAAAGAATTATATGATATATTATAGCTACCATCCAATGGAACACAAACTAGGAACGGGATTCATAGTCAATAAAAGAGTAGAGAACCTTATAATAGACCTCCAACCCCTCAACGAAAGATTATGCACACTAAGAATCAGAGGTAAATTCTTTAAATATTCAATAATAAATGCCCTTGTACCAACTGAGGAGAAGTAGGATGAAGAAAAAGAACAATTTTATGAATAACTGGAAAATATCATGCAACATTGTTCTAGTAAAGGAGATACTTAATCGGAGATTTTAATGCAAAGATAGGCAAAGAGAGGGAATACATGCCAACCATTGGAATTCACAGTTTAAATGAAAAGTCAAACAACAACGGAACTCGACTAATACAATTTGCCTCCTCAATGAACATGGTGATTGCCAGCACATGCTTCAGTCACAAAGATATACATAAGGGAAGATGGAGAAGTCCAGATGTGATAGACGTACGGGTAAGACGCGGGGCGAACATAGACACGGACCATTACTTACTACAAGCTAAATTAAGAGCTAGAATCTAAAATGCAAAGAAAGAAAAAGGAGTTAAAGAGGAAAGGTCTAAAATAGAAGCGTTGAAGAACCCTGAGATAGCTAAGAGATTCGAGGAAAGTCTCGAAAGCAAGCAGGAAGGCTGCACGGATGATATAGTTGAAGATATTGACAACTATTGGAGGCAGTGTAGAGCCATATTGGAAGAAGTGGCAACTAAAGTTATCGGAAAGCAAAAATGTAAAAAATTAAGGTCAGACTTGTACGATTAGGAATACGCACAAGCAACGCAAAGAAAAATTCAGTCATATAGAATACTTCAAGGGCGAAGAACGAGACAAACAGAGGAAGAGTATAGGCAACTGAGACGAGAAGAAAAACGAATACTTAAAAAAAAAGAAGAAATATCATGTAAAGGGCCAACTAAAAGAACTAGAGAGCTATAAGGCATAAGCAGAAACAGGAAAGAATTCAAACCAAGATTATCAATCGTTAGAAATAGAACAGGGGAGATCATTGGCGATCAGGACCAGATACTAGAAAGGTGGGCAGAAAACTTCGAGGACAGGTTAAATATAAGAGGTGAGACAGGGCTCCACGAATCAGAAATCCAACTCGAGGACATTGACGACGAAAGAGAGTAAGATAACATCCCAACAGAGGTAGAAGTCATCCAAGCTATACAAAAATTGAAAGAAAACAAAGCTCCTGGGGCAGATGGCAATCCTTCAGAACTTTTAAAGCATGAAAAAACCTGACATACTGTATATGTAGACTGGTAGAACTGATCTGGAAGCAAATAAAGTTGCCAGAAGACTGGAATGTAGGTATAATTGTACCTATCCACAAGAAAGGAGATCAAACAATATGTGACAACTACAGAGGAATCACCGTCCTAAACGTAACATACAAAATATTGGCATATATTCTTTACGAACGACTATCGGGATATTGTGAAGACATAATAGGTAAATATCAGTGTGGGTTTCGTAAAGAAAGATAAATGACCAATCAAATATTCCTTCTAAGGCAAGCTCTGAAAAAAACGTATGAGTATGGCATTGCTACTCATTACCTGTTTCAATATAAGGTTGAATGTTCGAATAATTAAACTTTGAGGGTATACAAGGCAACTATCGAACACGGTGATTAATTTAATCTTGCCCAAGTACTTTCAATCAATAGATCATCTTCAGGGGCATCTGAAATAAGCCAAGAAACGTTTTTTATAAAAAGGAAAATTAATACACTTGGATAAAAAACTCCAAGTTTATGGTTGAAAAAAATGTTTATATGTGATAAACGTTTATAGACTTACTTCGTCAATTGTGGCCTATCCGACATAGTAGAATGCCATAAATGTAAAATCTGGACATAACAATACAAAATACAATACACTAAGACAAACAAACACTTTAAAATTTATATGGAGAAGCTACATATTGTATAGAAGCCGGAGACAGAATGGGCTCCCGGTCTGACGGAAATGTAGAGATGACATGTGACAAATGACAGCTTATGAAGGGCAGTTATGTGATCTGCACCTTTCAAAATTCTATGATACTAAGTATTGACCAAAGGTCCAACTGACACCACTATAGGAAATCGACTGATGAAATATAAAATTATATAGTATATTTTTTATGTAGATTGAATAATCCCAATCTCACACTCAAACCTGTCTATAATAATTAAGATGTTGGTTTGAGAGCAATTGAAGTTGACATAAAGTATGAATGTGAGAAAAGACTAACAATATATTAGACAGTGGATGGTTGACTACAATAAAATGGTCCACCAAGCGCTATCAGTACTGTAAAAAAGAAAAATCTGAATATGCAGTTAAATTACTAAAAGTTAAAATCAAAATTGAAGACAAAATATATAAATGTGTTATAGTCAACGTAGTTCAGTTGAATCCACAGTCAATGGAAGAACTTTAAAATTAATATTGAAATATTCAGTGCATGAAGTCTAAACAGTCGAGCTGGGTCCTCTACGAGGTGAAGCTGTAATAAAGTTTTTAAATATAGGATTAAATTTAGTACAATTTAAATTAATTTGAGTATTAAGACAGTGAGAGTTTTCATTTGTTTCCCTTGTAATCTCCAAATCTTTCAATAAATCCACAAAATGTACCTGACAAGGATAAACAGATTTTGGAGAAAAAGATCCTGAAAAGAGAACTTAAGAAGCACTATACCAAACTCCATCATATCAATGTCAATCTGAAAATTAACTATGATCAAATTTTGCAACAGAATCCTTGGTTTCTTGTCAACGATTTCTTCAACAACATAGAAGATGAGGTCGCCCGCTTAAAATCTACCAAGAAGAGAAGTCTTACCAACAAACTAAACCGTTTGATATTGCAAAAACAACAGAGAAGCACCTCAACACC